GCAATTTCTTTCCTTTTAACAGCTATCACGCCTACTTTCTTCTCTCCCACTGCAAAATTGGTTATATTCACCGCCCTCTGATTCATCATCACCAATTATAAGGAAACAATGGCTGTCAGGGTGAATTCCCCAACTCTACTCCCAACACCAGGGCCTCTCACATGACCAGTCACCCCTGCACCAGTGAGAACCTCGGTGAGCTCCTGGACGCAGCATGGAAGCTGCTCCTCACCTCACAGACACGGAAGCGACTCCTCTTTTTTCTCCAAAAGCAAACTTCCTCCACTCTCTGCCTCCACTTCTCCTCCTACTCAGTCCCAGCTCATCATACCCTGACTTCTCACCCAACAACCGGAGCAGCAATCCTAACGATCACTAATGACTTTGCCAATTACTAACTTCAAACGCTCTCTTCCCCAAGTCTTCATGTTATTTCATTTCTCTGATCAAGATCAACTATCGACTTTTGTTTCCTTTACATTTTATTTTCACTTATATGTGTGACCTAGGCCATTGGAGGTTGCTGGCCCAGGGTCACAGGCAGGAAGTTACCGAGATGTACACAGATATGCCTGTCACCAGGACCCAGGCTCTTAGCCACTCTTTTGAACCGCTTTTCAAAAATGAAGTAGATTCTGAGGGAGAACTGAACCCACAATCTTCACACTAATAATGCCATATTCGGATGCAGGAATCAGCAAACCCGGACCCAGGGGCCAAATCCAGCCCGTTGCCTATTTTCATAAATGAAGTTTTACTGGGAGCCTGTCTCACTCCTTCACTGACATGTCGTCTAGGGTCGCTTTCGCACTGTTATAGCACAGTTCAATCACAGAGACAGAATACGTGGTCTACAAAGCCTAAAATTTTTACTATCTAGCGCTTTCCAGAAATTTTGCCAATCCCTATTCTAACCAACTGTCCTTTAGGTTCATCATTTGCAAATTTGAGGACAATAATAACTAAGCCATGTATTCGTAGTGAGAATGAAGGAAGACACCATACGTGGAATAATCGAGGCATCACAGAATGTGAACTGCAGTCCAATCAGGCTCTGCAGTCCTGCATTTATATGGGGAATCCCATCCCTACTGTCTCACCACCATGTCACTTCCTTCTTGGAAGTTTTTTGCTGCACACACCCCATCTCCCAACACGGCACAGAAGGGGCAAATGTCTCCTAGCACAATAACCTCAAAGCCTATTCCAGCTGTTTCTTTCTGTTAACAGCTCTGCCATTTCCCCTCAGCCAGGGTTGGATCTCTGAAATCACCCTGTACGTCTCCACTCTTCGCTTGCTCATTTCTGAAGTCCTGTTCATTCAACCTACACAACAGCTTACACGCCATCCCCTCTTCCACATTTCCACTGCCTATGAGTCCAGTCCCCATTTCCCCTCATGCGTCACCCCAGTAGCCTCACAATTCATTTCCTGCATCAACAGTTATGTGTCCTGAAATGGCCGAACATTTCTTAAACAAAAATATCCTTTTAAGACTACTCAGTAGTTATTCTAGTGGGTTTGAAATGACATCTCATTGTGGTTTTAATGTGCATTGCCCTGATGTCTAATGATACTAAATGTTTTTTTATGTGCTTATTTGCCATTTGATCATCTTTTCTGAGGTGTAAATTTATGCTTTTGGAAAACTTGAAGGATTTTGTTGTTCATATTTTAGTCACTGGTTTATTAAAGATTTTTATATATTCATGATTCATCAGATATATATGTTGCTAATTTTTTAACCAGTCTGTGGCTCACTTTTTCATTTTATTAATGGTGTCTTTGATGAATACAAGTTTTTAACTTTGGTGAAGTAAAAAAAAAAAGACTACTCAATATTGCATCACTACCCACTGAGTTAAGCCCTCAGCTTGACATCCAAGCTGATCATACAATATGATTCCAATATGCACCTCCAAACTAACACTGCACTGCATTTGGGGATACTTACCACGCTTCACGCACTACATTAAGCACTGGGAATAAAGAGATGAGGAACTCCCCTCCCATCCGAAGGAGCTCAGAGTCTAACGAGGAAGACAGACATCTAGAAAAAAGCAGCAAATGCCCGTGGAGTAGGAGGTGTTCAGAGAAGGTCAAGCAGGCGGTGTGAGCACAGAGAGGAGGCAAGAGAGCTGATCCCTCCGCAGGGCACAGGGGGACAGGGCTGAAACGGCTTCACTGTCCTCGAAGAGGAGAGGGATTAACAAGGCATGAATGGGGAGGGAAAATAAAGAGAGGCTATGAGACATAGGGTCCCTCCCACTTCCCAATCTTTTTCTCCAAAGCAGTGGTTTTAAATCAGAGGCAATGCTGCCCCGCAGGGGGCATTTAGCAATGTGAGGAAACAGGTCTGCCTGTCACGACGGGAGAAGGGACACTCCTGGCGGGCAGTGGGTAGAAGACACCTTACATGGCACTGCCCCCCAGCACAAAGAACGCCAGATGCGTTGGAATATTGACAATACAGAAATGGTGAGGAAGAATGAGTTATGCCTGGACAACCTTGCTCAAAAAAACAAAAGAGGAGAAAGCAAAACTGAACAAAAGGCAAAGCTATTAGTAAATGCTCCATACCTCATGCTCATGAACAGGGATAGATTTGATTGTCAAGTCAAGATGATCGACTGTAAGGGAGTGGAGAAGACAGGGCAAAGAGGCTGAAGCAGAGCCAGCAACACTTTGTTACATATTATCCTTCAAGCATGTACACAACTGCTACCAGAGGTCACGGGGAAAACACAGGGATAAACAAATCACAATCCCTGCCTGCAAGGAGACTGGATGGAGTTTAGTGGGGAGGATTAGAAAAGTACTCAGTCATTACAATGAAAGGGAAAATAAGATACATGTCTGAAGAGAAACGCAGAGGAGCTGGAATACACACATCTTGCAAAGATTCAGTGCGGGAAGAAAGGATAATTCCACTTAATACCTTCTTGATCTGCCAGTGAAATAAAAAGTCATAAGATAGTGAACTCTCCATTTTTATTAATAAACATAATTAGCAATATCAAATATCTGTTACTTTGAAATAGCCCAATTGCTAACAATAACCAAACAAAGACAAAGCAGGATACTTCTATAGAGTATTCCTAGAGAGATTTGACTTTCCTTTGAGAGACCCTTGAAAAAATTAGTTCCCATATCCTAGAGTAAGTCCTGCACTAAGAAGCTCTTAGTTGGGTTGTGTTTTTTTTTTAAACTTTGGGTGGCTTTTATTTCTCCTGAGGTTAAAAAACCATCCAGAGGGCAGCTCTTTAAATATTCCCCTCAGAAGGGGCTTCAAATTCCACACGAGAAAATAGTTAAGAGAACTCCCTAATGGTCCAGCCAACATACATTTTTCATAAAGTGATTATCGTCCTGCAGCCTCAGCTTCCTAAGCCTTTTCCCCGCCTATAATTGTTTTCCTTGTAGGCCAGGCAACAATTACCACTGCTACAAGACTGAGGAGGTTCACAAGCAATATATTTTACAATACATAAGTGTAGTGTCTCTGATATCTGGTGCTTTTATCACTAATTGCACTATAAAATGCGCTATTAAAACAGGGACAAACAAGATTGTAAAAATCACATAATGGACCAAGACCACTTACAAAAGCCATTCATAAATGTTACCAGACCATTTCTTTTTCTTTAATTTTCCAGTTATATAGTTATTTTTCAAAGTTTTTACTTCTAAGGGCTACCAACAAGGAAAAGAATATATTTGGAAATTATATATACATGCTTGCCCTTGAATATACTGTTTTATAAATTTGCTCAAAATTAAAATTAAATATAACATGAATGTGCTATGAACTGAATTCCTAGGGACATTTACATGATCCCTTGGGGAAAATTATAGGCATAGTAAGTACACTTAAGCTGTGATTTCTATTCCAACTTGAGAGCATGGGACTGAAGGCATGAAAAAAAGCACAGAAAGATTTCATGATTCTAATCTATGAAACAACAATATAACAAAGCCAATAAAACATTTATATCTGCGAAAAAAACAGAATGATCCAATATTACTGCCAATTACTGGAGGACATGGATCATTGGAGCTGCCTATCGTATTTCATATGTCAGTAGAACTAATTCATGGGCAAATTCTCAAGTTTACAGATCAGCATTTCAACGTCTTCACTATTTATTCATATGTCAAACCACTAAAAAAAAAGGAAATCAGGAATAAGAGAGAATTTGTGTTACCCATTAATAATTCTAATGAATACTTAGATGGAACTAGAAATGTGAATCATGACTCAGATGAAACACCGGGATTGTCTCTGGGTTTCATTTATCCATTACCAGAGACGAACTAGTCCTAATAATACAGGGCACAAGTACCCCAAGCCAAATGGTGGCTAGCCCCTACAAAACTAAAGATAAGTAACCAGTTAATGAATTTAGTCAGATAATTTTCTTTAAACTGAAAAAGAAACAGATGCTTTGATTTTAAGTGTCGACAAAGAATGTGGGACCAAGCCTGGACCTGACATTAAATGCTGTGACCTGTGCAGTCCACCGTACCTGGTCTCACATCTTTTCTTCAGGCCTTATAATGGCCCAACTTGACTAAAATTGGAACCTACTTTTTAAACAAGTCGATAAGCCACAATTACAGACATCTTAATTGTGAACCTAAATTAACTAGTGCTCAAATTTTCAAAAGGAAGACTGTCAGAAAGTCAAAAAAGACAGATTATATGTAAAAACAAAACAAACAAACAAAAAAAAACATTTGCTCTAATTTCAGGAATTAAAGCCACTTAATTCAGTAGCAATCATGTTAAAATATTTTTAATGGTAAGAATAATTTACTTTCTCAAAATGCCAAATCCTTGTAATACTCCTAAACTATGTTGGCTAAACCTAAATCACAAGCAGAAGCTTATTTTGCAGCGGTGTCACCCCCCAAAATTATTCCCAAAGACATGCCAAAGTTATGTTATTCAATGAAGTTAAAATGGGACTACACACACGAGCCCACACATACAACTTACTTTGTCAGACGCCTCAGAAGCCAAGAGGTTAGTTGCAAGGGTTTGTAGCTTATGATGGGCCATATTTTTCAGAGCAGCAAGACTTCGTCTTGTCACAGCTTGTTTGAGATTGACTGCTGGATGACTAAGCGAATCGACCGCAGCAGGAACTGCTTCGTCACAAGCATTCAGTATCTCGACGGCTGTTATCCCCATCACACAACGATCCAATGCGCCTGCAAGACATGTATTCACAGATATTACACATACCATCAAATGTTAAATAGTTTAAGACCAAAAAAGGCAGGGGGATTTTTTATGCAGAAATATGTCTTACAATACCTCCCAGAAACATTTTCTTGTACTTCCTTCCTCCAATGATCTCCCACAGAGCATCACCTTTATCATTTCCTCTCCCAACCACAACTTTCCAACAAAGTCAAGTTCAGAACCATGGTTTTAACAGCCTCCCTTAGGTTTTTCCGATTCCTTTGTACTTCCAAGATGGTCTCCTTGATCAATCCACACCATTTCTCTACTACAAACATCAAGTTCTATGACTTTACCTTCCTCTAAGTTGTATATCAATCTTAAACAACTACAACAAAAAAATTAAGTTTTGCTATTTTTCCAGTTTATTCTACTCGAACAACTCCTGAGGTTTCTCTTTCTCTAGGAAATCTCCACAAAACAGGGAAAAAATTATAACTTCTTATTCTATTTGCAAATTTCTTGCCTCTTATTCTTAAAACATAATCAAATGTTTTTCAGTGTGTTTGTGAAAATAACTACTACTTCAGCTTGTAGCTCCTTGAAAACTTCTTCATTTGGCCATACTTTCCAATTATCTCCATCTAAGCATTTCTTGTCTACGTTAGAGTGCAAACTCCTACCTATAAAGTAGGCAGCCTTTCTGTATACTGTGTCATGTACAGTGCCTAGCATCACACCAAGCAGAGAAAGTTCTCATTATAAGGATCTGTATGTAATTCTTTGAAGATTATAAGGATAATAAAATGATAATAGAGTTTATTTTGATTCATTGGGCATTCTTCCAAAGTCATTCTAAAAGATGATAATTTTAAAAAATAGCCATAGAGAATACCAGAAACTAAAATGTGAACAAAATACAAAAATTTTACTGTTTTTGAGCTAGTGTCCAAATATCCAGACATATTTATGTTCTTCCCAATGTTGAATGGTTATACACATGCCAGTCAAGTCTGTCCCTCATTCCTTAAAGACTTTAAATCCTGACTCACTATCCTCTTTCCAACAGTACTTCTGGAATAACGCTTGATGGTTTCAGTATTAACATAAATCAGTGAAGGCAAAGCAAAAGAAGGAATTGTTACCTGAAATTTTTTCAGTATGTGTGAAAAGGAGACTGTGTATACTCTAATGAGATTTCAATAATATTCAAAGAATATGAACAATTAAGGAAAGAAATAAAAACAGATAGTAATCATATGAAAAGACATGAACCTCACTAATAAAAATATCCAAATTGAAACAACAATGAAATATCATTTATGTCTAACCATGAGAGATACTCAGCATTCTTAAGAGTATGAGGAGACTAGTAAAATACTTTGAGTATGAGTAAAAATGAGCAGCTCTTTTCTTGACAAATTCTATTAAATTTAAAATTCACATTTCCTTTAACACAGCAATTTCCATTTTAATATTTATACTAAATAAACATATCATATGAAAACATAAATTCACATATATACTGTCAGTATCTATATACCAGTAACTATATATGTGTGTGTGTATATATATATATACCTATTATGTATACATATACACACACATAGACATATTTACTGTCTTATCTGTAAATCTTAAATATATAAGCAAACATATTTAGTAGACACATTCAATGAATTATGTTATATCCACTAAGTAATACTACGGATAACAAAATGAAGCTCAGTGTGATGTTTAATTTTATGTGTCAACTTGGCTGGGCCACAGAGCCTAGATATTTGTTCAAATATTATTCTGAGGTTTGCTGTAAAGGTATTTTAGATGAGACTGTACTTAAACTGGTGGACTCTGAGTAAAGCAGATTGCTCTCCATAATATGAATGGGCCTCAACTAATCTGTTGAAGGTCTGAATAGAGCAAAAGATGGACCTCCCCCAAGACAAAGAATAGAAACTATTCAAAATGAAACACAGAAAAAAATTTTCAAGTAACCTCATGGACAGATAAGTGGAGTCTCCAAAGAAAGGAAAGAGAAAGGAGGATCAAAAACATATTTGAATAAATAATAGACAACAGTTTATAAATCTGTTGAAAATATAGACTCACAGATACAAGTACCACAAACCCTAAGCATAAGAAAACATGAAAAAAAAACTATAATCAAAATGCTCAAAATCAATAATAAAGAGAAAAACTTTAAAGCAATTAGAAAAAACAACATAAGACACACAGAAAGAAATGGGTCACAGAAGATTTCTCACTGGAAATAATACAAGCAAGCAGATAGTAGAGTATAAAAGAAAAAAAAAGGTTGACCTAGAATTCTATACCAGGGGCGGGGGGTGGGAATCTTAAAAATTAAGGTAAAATAGTTTTTCAAACATCCAAAAGCTGAAAGATTCATCACTCATAGATCTGCACTACAAAAAATATTAAACATCAAGCAACAGGAAAATCAATTCCAGATGAAAACCTGGATCTACACAAAGCAACGAAGAACAATAGAATGGTAACTACATGGGTAAAGATATAAGATTTTGCTTGTATAATTCAAATTTCCTTAAAATATAATAGACTACTTAACCAAATATACAAATAGAATAAAATAATGTTCCAAATGAGTAAAAGCCATTAGCAACAACACAGATGATATAAAAGAGAAAAACGATAGAGAGTGACCCAATCATTCTTGACTAGAATTTATTCTTTACACAGAGCAAGTGGTCCGTGTAAAAGAATAGTAGGAGATTAAGACAAAGGTAAGAGGATACCACACTGTAGAGGACTTTGTCTTAAAGGCTATATGAAGTAACTTTTTTTTCCCAGTAAGACAGTGACATAAATCAAGTGTTGTTTTATTTCCTAAAATTAATTTGCCAGCAGTATAAGAATACATTAGAAGAAGAAACAGAAGACAAAGATACCAATAAAGATAAGGCTCTATTTTTTCACACCTACACTAAGTTAAAATGACACACTGGAAAAAAAAAAAGGGAGGGCAGGGGTACCTACTGGGAAAGACTTAGTAGTTAATTGCACAGAGGGCTCTTGGGCAGAGGGAACAAGTAGTAAAGACAGTCACCTGTCTTCTCTAACAACCTCTTCCTTCAAAATTCTAGAGTGAATCATCCAAAGGGGAAAAAGAATCTCTGATTATACTTGATTTTACCAAGATTTTAGAAAAGTACCCTTTTCTAATTTTTGCTTATCCCTGCTTTATATACATTTTTAATAGATATAAACACATTAATTCATACTCTGCTATATGTTATTAGATAATAAAGTTTAAAAGATGAACAAATGCAAATTTATGAAATAAACGCAACAGAAATGTTTTTTAAAAACCTGGAGGATCCAGTCAGCATGGCTCAGTGGTTGAGCATCGACCCACGCACTAAGAGCTCACCGTTTCAATTCCCAGTCAGGACACATGCCCAGGTTGTGGGCCGAATCCCCAATGGGGGGCATGCAGGAGGCAGCCAATCGATGTTCTCTCTCATCGATGTTTCTATCTCTCCCTCTCACTTCCGCTCTCTCTCTAAAATCAATAAAGGAAAAATAAATAAATAAACCTGGAGGGACAGAGAATAAATTTTTTAAAAAGATAACAAAACAAAATAAATTCACAAGACCTCATATACTAACTTCGAATAATATTTGGCAAGCACTCTTGGTGTTTATATTTGGACAAAAACACCTAGTAACTGTCCCTACAGAAATAGGTTTACGAGGTGAGAATCACTTTTTCTATGTAGTCATGATGATAAAAATGGGCAGATGAGAATGTTGTTGAGACTTAATTATGGTTAGATAGAAAGAATACCTTGTTACATCAGTCATTACTTAAAGCATGCTACTATTTCTCAAGTAAAGAAGATTTTGACCTTGGCAAAGACCTGTGGGAAGAACAATGCATGCTTATGGGAGCATCAGTGTGGAGAATGAGCATTGATCGCTGAAGCACATGAACAGCTCCAGGTAGAACAGCCGCCACCTAGGTCGGTGGCCCACCTTCAATAAGTTCCTAAGTGGGAGTCAAGAGTTCCATCTGGCCACATCCTGCAGCTGGCTTTTCGAGTAATTTTCTAACTACCCAGAAGTGAGAGAAGAATAATTTCCATGCCATCTACATCACTATTAATTGTTACTGATCTAATAAAGATGACAATAAAAGAAATATTCTGGACCTCTAACTCTCTAATTACATTTTGTATTACTAGCTTCAAACTCATTTCATTAAGAAATAAATATTGAAGAGAAAACTACCCATTTGATAAAACAAAAGACAAAAAGAAAATGCTGCATAAAAGTATAAAGAAAGGCCCTGGCCAGTTTGGTTCAGCGGTTAGAGCATCGGCCTGCAGTCCTGAGAGACCTGGGTTCGGTTCCCGCTAAGGGCACGTACTTCGGTTGCAGTTTGTCCCCGGCCCTGGTTGGTCGTGCGGGTGGCAGCCACTCGATGTGTCCCTTCACGTCGATGTTTCTCTCTCTCTCTCCCTTCCTCTCTCTCCCTCCCACTCTATCTGTACAAAAAATGGAAAAATGTCCTCGGGTGAGGATAAAAAAAAAAAAAAAAAAGTATAAAGAAAGTACATTTTTGCCCTGGCCGGTTTGGCTCAGCGGTTAGAATGTCAGCCCACAGACCAGAGAAACCTGGGTTCGGTTCCTGCTAAGGGCATGTACCTCGGTTCCAGTTTGTCCCCGGCCCTGGTTGGGGTCATGTGGGTGGCAACCACTCAATGTGTCTCTTTCACATTGATGCTTCTCTCTCTCTCTTCCTCCTCCTCTCCCTCCTGCTCTATCTGAAGATAAATGCAAAAAATAAAAAATAAATGTCCTCGGGTGAGGATTAAAAACAAAAAAAATACATTTTTAAGCATTTACAAGCTAGAACAGCAGTACAATTCAACAGCAAACAAAAAATTAAACAATATGTATGAGTAATTTTAGTATAATATGGCTTCATTTCTAAAAACACATTCCCAAAATACTAAGAAGAGGGATAAAGTACCTCCTCAGAGTTTAAATATATTTCATATAGCAAACCTTGGCTGAGTGATTTATTTAGCTTCTTAATTAATTAATTTACTTTAATTTAATTAATGTCATAACCTTCAGGATGTGCCTGACTCCCCAGAGACCTTTACATGACTAGTCAAAGCCTGAATACCAAGGGGGGAAAAAGAACATAGAGTTCTTATGGTTGATATCCAAAATAAATTCTGCTTCTTTATTTTTAACTCAATTTAAGACTGTCATATTGACTAATAGTTTACCAAAAATCCTCCTGAAGGTCAGAATTGTGAATTCAGTATTATATATTGTTTAATCTAAAATGGGCTTATTTATACTAAGCTAGTTATAAGAAGAACATCCTCCAGCATACCTATAGGTAGGGGCCATTTGTCATTTCCTTCTAGGGAAGTTACTGCAAAAGTAACTTTATCTTTCAGTAAGGTTTCATTTGTCAAGAATGTAAGTTTTAAAGTATCTAAAATATTCAAGTATCATTATTTAAGTATATATCTGAAAAATACAGGAAAATTATATTATCTTTCTTCATCATACTTATTTCCTTCTTAAAAGTCCTAGACAAGTTTACCATAGTTTAGTATTTAAGATATAACAATTGTTCACTTAATATTTATAGTATTTTAAAAGAGCATTTTATGAATGTCATTATCTCTATAAAAACTTCCTTTAATACTAATTCCCAAAAAACATATTTCTAAATATAAGTAAGGTCATAGTCCCAAGTTCAACAAAGAACAGGTTAAGCAGCATGTTTCTTTGATAACACACATGCACCTACACACAGAGAAACTTAACTTGTACACAAACACACACATATACACACTCAACATTATGCCTCATACTCCCCACGTAAATAATATGTCATTTTATTCTTCCAGTAACATATAAAATAAGAACTATTATTATCTTCATTTTACAGATAAAATTGAGGGACACACATCCAATTACTTGCTGTAGGTCACAGTGCTAGCAAGTGGTGGATTCCAAATTTAAACCAAGCGTTCTGACTCTAGAGTCCAAGACAAGCTTTGTATAGTTAGTTGGTGGGGAAGAGCAAATCAGCAAACACAACAGATACAATGTAACCAAAGGGCACAAAAATGAGATTTTTATGCATACAAAATTACATGTGTAGTATGACAAAAATTCTAGTTTTAAAAATGCACAGAAACAAGACTATAAAGAAACACGTCAAAATGTTAACATTTACCACTCAGCAACAGCATCTGGGTTCATCTTTTCTAATACTTTTGTGCTTTTAAAATTTAACAAAAGGTATGAATTTCCTATACTATTAGACAAAAAAAAAAGATATATGCAAAAGCAGACAGTCTCCAAGAACAGTTCATCTTCTCAAGACTGCCTTCGTACTATCTGTTAAAATGAGAACTCTAAAAGAAAAGATCATTGACAGTATGGCTATTTGTTCCAAAAATATTTTTTTTTATTTTAACTTTTATTTTGATATTAACATTGTTTATCACTGCTCATCATCCTCGCTGCCAACTATCTTTATCCAGTTCTTTTTTTTTTTTTAAATCTTTATTGTTGGATGTAAAATGTATTACAGATGTTCCACATTTTTCCCCCATTGACCCCCTCCTCCCCACTCCCGCCCCCCTCCCACCTTTTCCCACACTATTGTCTGTGTCCATTGGTTATGCATATAAGTTCTTTGGTTTATTTCTTCCCACCCACCCCCAACCCCTTTCCCTTTGAGGTTTGTCAGTCTAGCAATGAATTTGTACTTCTTAATCCCTTCACCTTTTTCACCCATTCCCCCAACCCCCTCCCATCTGGCAACCAACAAAATGTTCTCTGTATCTATGAGAATGTTTCTGTTCTACCTGTTCATTTTGTTTGTAGATTCCATTGTTGATAGATATGTATTCATTGCCATTTTGTTTGTTCATATATTTTATCTTTTTCTTCAAAAAGACCCTGCATCATTTCATATAATAACGGTTTGGTGGTGATGAACTCCTCTAACTTTTTCTTGTCTGGGAAAGTTTTTATATGTCCATCGATTCTAAATGACAGCTTTGCGGGATAGAGTAATCTTGGTTGTAGGTTCTTGCTTTTCATCACTCTGAATATTTCTTGCCACTCCCTTCTGGCCTGCAAAATTTCTTTTGAGAAATCAGCTGACAGCCTAATGGGAACTCCCTTGTAGGTAACTCGCTGCCTTTCTCTTGCTGCTTTTAAGATTCTCTCTTTGTCTGGAATCTTTTGCATTTTGATGATGATGTGTCTTGGTGTGGGCCTCTTGGGGTTCATCTTGTTTGGGACTCTCTGTGCTTCCTGGACTTGTATGTCTGTTTCCTTCACCAAGTTAGGAAAGTTTTCTGCCATTATTGTTTCAAACAGGTTTTCGATTTCTTGTTCTCGCTCTTCTCCTTCTGGCAGTCCCAAGATGCGAATGTTGGCACGCTTGAAGTTGTCCCAGAGGCTCCTTACGCTATCCTCATTTTGTTGGATTCTTTTTTCTTTTTGCTGTTCTGATTGGGCATTTTTTGCTTCCTTATATTCCAAATCGATAGTTTGCTCCTTGGATTTACGTACTCTATTATTGAAGCTGTGTAAATTATTCTTTATTTCAGTTAATGCCTCCTTCAGTTCTAACTGTGTATCCATGATTTCTGACTGGTCCTTTTTTATGCTCTTGAGGCCCTCCCTAAGTTCACTGAGGTTCTCACTAAGTTCATTGAGCATCCTTATAAGCAGTATTTTGAACTCAGCATCTGTTAGGTTGCTTATCTCCATTTCGCTTAGTTCTTTTCCTAGGGTTTTGTTCTGTTCTTTCATTTGGGACCTGTTTCTTTGTCTCCTCATTTTGGCTGCCTCCCTGTGTTTGTTTCAGTGTATTACTTAATGAGAGGTATGGGGCTAGCTGAGACCGAATGCTGCTCGTTTGAAAGAATTTAGGAAAACCAGAAGCAGGATCCAAGACAGGCCAATCCTATGGTTAAGCAAGTGGCAACAGCTTGGGTGGGCCTGAAAGTTGGGTGGGGCGGGGCCTCAGGGAGTCAGCAGGGCGGGGCTACCAGTGTGAGCCAGGTTGCTGGAGGCCCAGATATGGCGACTGTCTGCCGCTCCGGGAAGGGCTCACCAAAGGAACAAAGGCCTCTGACAGCACGTTTGTCCCCGAGGAAGCCCCCTCTCCAGCCCTCGCTCCAGTGCTAAACAGCTCAGTTCTTCCCTGTATGTCTCTGGTGCCCCTCGAGCTGCCTCCCCTCCAAGCTTAGAGGGAGTGAGTCCGATAAGTCCTGCGCGGGCCCTTTAAGGAGCTGCCTGGGGCTCCAGCCGCCTCAGCCTCCCTGAGCCTCAGTTCCTGCTGGTTTTCCAGCCAGAAGTGATGGGGATTCTCTTCCTGGCACTGGAACCCTGAGCGGGGCACCTGGTGTGGGACGGGGACCCTCAGTCCTCAGGGAGGACCTTCCCAGCCGAGGTGTCCTCCTGATTTTTATCCGCCACACGTGGGTGTGGGACCAGCCCGTCCGCCTCCGTCCCTCCTACCAGTGTCGATGCAGCTGCTTCTTTAATTCTGTAGTTGTAGGACTTCCATTCAGGCAGTTTTGAATGATGGTTGTTCTGTAGTTTAGTTGTAACTTTGATGTGGTTGTGGGAGGACGCAATACCGCGTTTACCTACCCGCCATCTTTTTTTTTTTTTTAATCCTCACCCGAGGACATTTTTCCATTTTTTGTACAGATAGAGTGGGAGGGAGAGAGAGGAAGAGAGAGAGAGAGAAACATCGATGTGAAGGGACACATCGAGTGGCTGCCACCCGCACGACCAACCAGGGCCGGGGACAAACTGCAACCGAGGTACATGCCCTTAGCGGGAACCGAACCCGGGTCTCTCTGGACCGCAGGCCGACGCTCCAACCGCTGCGCCAAACCGGCCAGGGCACTACCCGCCATCTTGACCGGAAGTTCTTTTGTCCCAAAAATATTTTAAGAGAACTCCTACTGTACCACATTGCAAGCAGAAATGTATATATACTCTGATTTCAAAAAGAACTATTTCAAACAAACAAACAAAGATGAAGTAAAGGAAAAACATTCAGTAGGAATATATTATATAATACAACTAAAAGTGTAAATAAAAGTTTTAATCACTGATGCATGATTGCTTGAGTAAAAGTAGAATAACACATGTTTTTAAAGCCTAAACTAATAAATACATTTACTTACATACTTAAAGATTTCCCAGGGAAAACTATGAGATCCTATGTTTAACATGATAGATTACTGCTTATACTTTTAGGCTAAGCATTACTTGTTCTATATTATGCCCTATACACAAAATCTTTGAAACTGAAACTTTAAATGTTCTCTCTAGAATCTGAAACTTTCATTTCAATCACCTCCTACAATTAACTGCTCTACATTGCTTCTCTGCAATTCAAATAAAAGAGGGATTTCTCTTTTTCCACTGTTTCTGAATCTGAGACAAAAAATGCTTTCTTCATCTTGCTGCCATGAATCACTGATTTTTTGGTCTGTTATCTGTATGTCTGTCCTAATGTGTTTATTATCCTTATTCTTCAATTACATTCCTTTAAATATTGGCCAACTACATTTAGCCTAGTATAACACTTAGAAAAAGCAGTGATCAAAAATAAAAGTAGCAATCTTGTTATATTTGGGGGATTTTTCCTCATACAAAAAAAAAGATTTTTCATTTCTAGGAAGTCAAATGTACACATCTAATTTTCAAGTCCATTTCTTAATGCTTGTTCTTACCAGTATCCATTTGCCAGACATACACAGAGCCATCTGAACATCCCACTACCAGGTAATCATCAGAAGGCCTCCACTTAATCACTTGAATAGGGAAAAGATGACGAGATGCCAGCATAATGCATTTTTTCTCTCGCAAACTTAGGAGTCCTACTGAGTGGTCACTGGCTACAGAGCAGACACAGTGCTGCACTCTTGCCTGAAAAGAAAAATAAACCTTAATTACATTTAGATTAAATGCAGAGTAAAAAGAATCCTGTCCTCAATAACTTAAACCAAAATTATTATACAGTCACTACTCCTGAAAAACCAACCACAATGTTTGGTTGTGCTAAAAATACGTTCCTTTATATTATACACAAAACACCCAGTTCAATCATCACAACACTAAAAAAAATACCGGATGTATCCTAGATTAAGGGTGGGAAAGATGCTTTGGAAAAATCTGTTGTTCAATTGTGAAGATGCCTCACCAAAATGATTGCTATATATGAGCAGGCAGAGCTGGGGAAAAATTGATCTGTGATTATGTGTTCTCTCCACAGTATGAACGTCCCTTTGTGAGCTGCCAGGGCTGCTTTCCGCGGTGCTGCTTTCTGTTTCTGACTGTCACTCAGACTCATGCTCTTCCTGCTCCTCTGCTCAAAAACAATACCCTGTGGTCCCTCTGCCACTGTCACTTCTGAAGAGCCTCAGATATGCTGTATTCTCTGAAGCAGTGCTTCCCAGCCTCTGTCTATCATGTCAGCAGGCGCCCCAACTCACCAACACACAATAGCCAATTAAATATTCCACTACGCATTTTCTGTTCATCTCTAGCTTTTGCCCTTCGAGTCCTTTTTAGAAATAGATGAAATATAAATAATCGAACAAAGATGGTAAAGATTTTTCACTAGCAACAGAGAACACACTCCACGACCTGGAAAATTAAAAATTAGTCCTTAAATTTTTGAGACAATTTATAAGCAAGCTGGGACTTAAAACTTTTTAGTGACTTAGTAGTTTATGCTTTTAGTTCATACTAAGATGAAACCATATGAAAACAGCCACCTGAAACTCATGATTGCATATATTGTGGCTATTTATTGACGATGAGGCCCACTGTACCACATATACACTATCTCTTCTACAGCACCCAAAGGGGAAACTCTCACACCTCACCCTGCTGGACTTCACTTAAGCAAAACAGCCTGTTCCTAGCTTAAGAACAATAGTTTACTTACTGGTATATCTCACTGAATGAGAAATGTTGACAGATATTAGATTTAAAAAGGGGGTAGGGGGGTCCTGGCCAGTGTGGTTCAGTGGTTGAACATCGACCCATGCACCAAGAGGTTGCTAGTTCAATTCCTGGTCAGGGCACATGCCCAGGTTGTGGGCCTGATCCCCAGTGGGGGCACGCAGGAGGTGGCCAATCGACGTTCTCTCTCATCAACGTTTCTATCTCTCTCTCCCTCTCCCTTCCTCTCTCTCTAAAAATAAGGGAAAAAATTTGTTTTAATAATAATAAATAAATGGGGGGGGGGGCGGGGAAGTGGCCTAATGTACATAGGGGATGCAAGTTACAATTGTTTTTATTCCAATAACTCCCAAAACCTTTAACATGCTGCTGAGAATATAATTATCTGTATAAGGGAGACACGTCACTCATCTCCAAGGTTATGTGACTATGGTACTGTTATAAGACCTAGCTTTTGAGGAACACAGTTTTGGGGGAAATGCTATACTGCTTCCTTTTGTGTTTTGGCTGCTACAAAACTCAGGTCTCCGTTTTCTGTGCACAGCAGCACAAGATCTGGGCACACATTTCTACGTGTGGGGTCGCAGTGGTCTCGTCTGCTTCCTTCTCGCAGTTCCTTCCCCATGATCAGCTTTATTTTAATCTTACTCAATAATCTGTATTGTTTTAAACAACCTAAAATCAATTTTTGAAGGAAGCGGAACATTAATAAAACCTAGATATTAATTTTTCTTAAAGTCAGGTGTTTCATTCCTTTATTCTGTGTTAGTTTTATTTGTACTTTTTGGTTTATGAATGTTTTAAATACTATAATAAACCCATCTGGTATTTACTAATGTTAAAAGGTAGAACTAAGTTTATGTTAAAACCCTCTAATAAAATATCGTATAGGAGTTTCTTAAACAAGCATTTGTTAAGTATACTTATTTCATGTTTCCAGATAAGCATTCAATGGAAAGATAAAACATGATTTCTCTCTTTAAAAAGACATATTAAGGAATGGGAGGTAGTTGACTTTACACAAAATTTAGCTTTAAAATGAAGCAATAAATCCAAATAAAGTGGTAAGCTACAAAATGTTCACTTAATATAGGCAATGTTAGAATAAAACAGGGTAAAAACTATAACATAAAACATATCCCTTTATTTTCCGTTATTTCACACCACAAAATATTTATGAGTTTCACCAGACATACATTGCTAACTGAAGATAACACAACGGACGCTTTGCACTTCTACAGGTTATTAGTGCTGACTCGGGATTTGTCAAATATACCCATCATTCAACATACAGAAACAGATGGTTTGCTACGTTAATAATTACTATATCCTATTTTGCAACACAAATCTGCCCCAAAATGGTCATTTTATGTATTACTCTCATCAGAAAAAATACATCTTTGTGTATGATTAACTAAAAGAACAATGCCTATAGTTAGTAATATTATAATTATGTGTGGTGTCAGATGGGGTCTAGACTTACTGGGTCATCACCACAAAAGTTATATAAATGTCTAGTCACTATGTTATATGCCTGAAACTATGTCAACCGTAATTGAAAAAAAGTTTTAAATTTAAAAAGAATAATTCCTATTCACAGCCTTTAATCCAGCGGTTCTCAACCTGTGGGTCGCGACCCCTTTTGGGGTCGAACGACCCTTTCACGGGGGTCGCCTAAGACATAACAGTAGCAAAATTACACTTATGAAGTAGCAACAGAAATAATTTTATGGTTGGGGGGTCACCACAACATGAACTGTTTTAAAGGGTCATGGCATTAGGAAGGTTGAGAACCACTGCACCCTGATCTGCCACAGTATACCATTTGTCACTACTTTCGATTCTGCTACTTTGACTCACAAACTCTCCAAAACCTTCTTTAAAATGAGCTAATTCTCAATTAAAGGCATACTCTTAAACTAGCCTACTTGCTAGCCTCAAGTCCATTGTCATTTCATTAAAGATCATGTACACTCTTATTGTTCCTTTTCAAAGAGTAGGGAAAAAAAGGAGGCATGAGTCATGGTGAAGTTTGTTTTCCCTTTAAAAAAAAAAAAAGTGAATATTTACCAATATTCCTTACTGTGTTTGGTGCTTCTCAAATTATGGTCTGTGGGTGAATCTCAACATCTGAGACCGCAGAAAACTGACAACCACTGAACTACACATTCTCTCTCCTTCTCTGCCAAGTATCTCATACTGTAGTTTATGCCCGCAGGCATTAAGCAAGCAAACAAAAAGGCTTCCCCATTCCTATGAGAAACTTGACCTTTCAGCATCAACTCCTCCTGAGAAGTTCACTGTCAGACTTTCAGGCTCCGTTTCACCAGTATAGCTCAGTCGATTGAGCGCTGCCCCCATGGACTGAGAGGTTCTGGTTCAATTCTCGGTCAGGACACATTCCTAGGTTATGGGCTCGATCCCCAGTCAGGGATGTGCAGGAGGCAACCAACTGATGTTTCTTTCTCTCTCTCCCTTCCTCTCTCTCTAAAAAAATCAATAAAAACATATTTAAAAAATAAAAAAGAACTTTCACCCTCCCCATTAATACACAGGTGGACAATTTCAAAAATTCAAGAAAATGTAATTCATCCTCATAAAAAGATTTAAAAGGTCTATAACATGTTATCACTCTTATCAGTAAAAATAAAGGATATATACACAAAATATTAAATAATACCACAGGACCTGCTTTAAATGAAAAAGTAAATTATGGAATGTAATTTTCTGAAGGAAAACAAAGAACTACAATTCCAAAATTTCTAGCTTTTTATTTCCACATGATGGACTCTCTCTAACACATGTATTTACATAAATATGTTTTAAGGAAGAAATCTCTTTCACTTAGTGCCATAACAATGAAAATTGGCAAATGACATGCTCCACCCACACACACAAAAATGATCCAAAATAAAAATGAAAACAAGCATCTGAAGAGTTAACTCTAGCTTACTGTAATAACCAACAGTCTGGAAATAGCCAAAATAATCAAGACAGAAAACAAACAAACAAAAATCAATATCACTAAGCCCAAGATAGCATAGTTATTAGAGGTACTTAACTCACAAGAAAAGATGGTTCTCTGCTTTTTAAATATGGATTTAAATAAATCTAATTTTTCTTCTTTCAAGAAAATGCTAGTCCAACTCGTGTGAAGAAAACTGGCCTACCATGGAAATGGTCCAGTACAGTAAAACCTCATTAATTTTGATTCCACTAATTAATTCTGAGTTGGTTACCTTTGCAGGCTGTGTGAAAACAAATTAATGGTATAAACAAAGCAAATGTCTAGCCCATTTAAATGAAAACAGAATAAAAGATACTTCTCAAGAACCACTTTGGTATTAATTTTAATTTAACAATGGACAGAGTAATGATAAGTAATTCTCAACTATCTGTTAAATGAAGGCACTTAAAAGATTTGCTAAAACACAATTAACTTGGTTTCTTCTTATCTGTCCTCAAAATTATTAAAGAAGCACTTCTTAAAGAAGATTTTATAACTCCTATTTCTCTTTGATTTAGACCCAGCCTCCTCACAAATTAGTTGAATTATTAGTATTATCAAATTCCAGAGATCTAGGTTATTGAACATTTTCTTCACCGACAGTGATTGATTCTGCAATTTGATTATTTCCATTCTATTTCACTTTCTTTCATTTCAACTGGGCCTATAACATTACTTAACATCACAGGATTATAACAAGATAATGTATAAGACATTTAAATTGTGCAATTAAAATAACACAACTAAAAAATGGAAACCTCATATCTTTTAATTATTTGAGAAGCATGTATGCTCCCGATTTTTTTTATCACACACCTATTCATTAAAAGGCTTTGCAATGTACGCCCAGCCTGTGTGGCTCAGTGGACTGAGTGTCATCCCGTGGACTGAGAGGTCCCGGTTCGATTTCCCATCAAGGCAATAACCTGGTTGTGGGTTCAATCCCCAGTAA